AGAAAAGAGTTTGCTTTGGGAAAGTGCTGTTATTGTATTTGTTTCAAAGTTAAACTATAAACTAAGATCCTTCCAAAGTTAGTTCAGCCTATGCCCAGGAATGAACCAGGATGGCTTGGAGGTTAGAAGCAAGATGGAGTCTATTAGGTTAGATCTCTTTCACTGTCATAATTTTCTTAGTTATTTATAATTTTTGCAAAGGTGGTTTCAATATCTTTACAAAAAACATGTAGATTAGTGTTTTACCAGATATCTGGCTCTCATGGCCTAAACAAGTTGACACGTGAAACTAACCATCACAACAGCATATAGTTGCGACTTTTTAAAATTTAGTCTGGCTGGGCACGGTGGCTTATGCCTGTAATCCCAGCACTTTGGGAGGCTGAGGCGGGTGGATCACTTGAGGCCAGGAGTTGAAGACCAGCCTGGCCAACATGCTGAAACTTCTTGTCTACTAAAAATACAAAAATTAGCCAGGCGTGGTGGTGGGTGCCTATAATCCCAGCTATTCAGGAGGCTGAGGCAGGAGAATTGCTTGAACCCGGGAGGCAGAGGTTGCAGTCAGCCAAGATTGCACCACTGCACTCCAGCCTGGGTGACAGAGCGAGACTCCATCTCAAAAAAATAAAAATAAAAAAATCCTGTCTAACAGTTTCTGCCTTGTGTTTGCATTGTTTAATCCATTAACATTTAATGTCATTATTGATATAGCTGGATATATTTGCCATTTTACATTTTTTCTGTTCATTCGTTTGTTCCTCTCTTCATCCTTTGTTGCTTTCCTTGGCAATGAGTGAAAATTTTATAAAGTAACATTTCAGTTCTTTCAATTACCTTTTACTATGTATATATATATATATTTAACTATATTTTTAAAATAATTTTCTTAGTAATTGTTTTAGGGCTTGCAATAAGCTTATCAAATCTGTTCAACTTATCAAAATCTACCTCAGTTTAATACTAAATTAATTTCAGTGAGATATAAAAACCTTATTCCTATATATCTGCATTCTCTATTCCCCCTCTTTTTTCTATTATTATACATTGTGCATCTACACATTGCAGATCCAGCAATACATTATCATATTCATTACTTTATATAATGTTTTATCTTTTAAATAAACTAAGAGAAGAATGTAGAGCAAGTATACAGTTATAGCCCTTGTTATACCAACCATTATATTTATCATTTCTGGTTTTCTTTATTTGGTCCTGTGTATTTGAGTTACCATCTAGTGTCATTTCTTTAGACCAACACAGATTTGCTCACTCCTACCTTCTTCGGGCTGTTATTGGCAAATTAGCAAATATATTGTATATCTCTGTGCTATAAGCCCAAACATACAAAAAAGTACATATATATATATAATTTCGTACAGTTGTTCTTTAAGTCAGCAAATGGAAGAAAGGAGAAGAAATATGCATTTATGCCATTTCTTAATTTCATAGTTATCTTTATCAGCACTTTTAAAGTGTGGATTTGAATTTCTGTCAGGGGTCAATTGCTTGTAACTGAACAACTTCCTTAAAAGACAGGTCAGCTAGCAACAGATTTTCTAAAAGTTATGTCCTCTTTTTGCCTTCACTATTTAAACATAGCTCTGCTGGATATAGGATTCTGTTGACAGTTTTTGTTTTTTCTTTCAGCACTTCACACATGTCATTCCCCTACTTTCTGCCTTCAATTGTTTCTGATAAGAAGTCAGTTGTCAACTTATTGGGGTTCTTTTGTAGGATATGAGTATTTTTCCCTTGCTGATTTCAAGAGATTTTTCTCTGTCTTCGGCTTTCAGCAAATTTACTTATATGTTTACACATAGATGTCTTTGTGTTTATCCTGCTTGGTATATGTTAAGCCCCCTTGATTTGTAGGTTGATATTTTTCATCATATTTAGGAAGTTTCCAGGCATTTCTTCTTCAAGTATTTTTTCTGTTCCTTTTTTGACTTTTTGTTTGGCATTCCCAATATGCAAATGTCGGTATGCTTAATGGTGTCCCAAATTCCCCTGAGGCTTTGTTCATTTTTCTTCACTGGTTTTCTTTTTGTTCTTCAGACTACATTATCTCCTTCTGCCTATCTTCATATTTGCTAATTCTTTCTTTACATCTACTATTGAGCTCCTCTGCTGAGTTTTTTATTTTAGTTATGGTACTTTTCAACTCTAGAACCTATATTTGATTCATTTTTAATAATCCGTATCTCATTATTGTCTGATAAAACATTTCCATAACACCTTTCTTCATTTCTTTAAGCATGGTTTCACTTACTTTTAGAATATATTTGTAATGGGTACTTTAAAGTCTTTGTCTGTTACAACTGATGTCTGGTCACTTTCATAATTTCTGTTGCCTGTTTCTTTCCTATATGTGACACAAACTTTTATATTTCTTTGCACATGTTGTAATTTTTTTTTTTATGAACTCTAAACTTGTTAGATAATATATGTTGATAACTACGGGTACTATTCTCACCAAGGGACTTGTTGCTGTTTGCTAGTTTATTGCTTAGTGGCTCACTGGGCTGTTTGAGTGAAGTCTCCCCCTGCCAGTTTGAAGCCTCAGATGTTGTTCCTCAGAGGGTGCAGATCTTGGCATGGGCACAGTCATCCCTGGATGACAGTGATTTTTCAGAGCCCTTGACTGTCTCTTTTCCTGACCACATCGAGCTATTAAACTCCATTAAGTTTAATATTAATCCAGCTATTAAACTTGACTGATCTCTTATTTCTCATTGTTTTCAACAATGCCCTGGGGTGTGAATTTCTCTAAAAACTGATCCAATTAAATTATATGAGTAGTTTGAAGTCAGAGTTTAAGCTTCATCCTCACCCCAGGAGGGCTCTTCATAGCTGTCTTTTTTCTTGGTTCTCTTTAGTAGACTAGCTAGCCTATGGTTTAATTTATATCTGTAATAGAGCTAGCTATCAGTCATCTGTTAATTGCTTTCCACCAAAACCTCCATTGTGTTTTACAGCATCCTTAAGTTTTAACTTCCTCCATCCTCTGTTTCAAATTAAGTCAATAAAATTGGGGAGAGCAGAGGAGTTCTCTGTCTTACGGCCTAACTCTCCGCCGGGGCAAAATCTCTGAGCTGGGATAGTGGTATGCTTTTCTGCTTCAGGGTTGGATGTCCAGTGAAGGACAGTAGTCTCTGGTCTTCTTGGCTTGCCTCTCCAAGCATGAAACCTTTTTGCTATGAATGAACTAGGGTCCAGTCCCCAGTACAGCACCTCATGCCCAAGGTATTCTCCACCTTATGAGTCGGGGCTGAGTGGAAGAAGGGAGACCCAAAGCCATAGCTGTACTTACCCAAATCTTAGACTCTGCAACAGGTTGCTAGGAATGGGATGAGAAATGCTAATCCTCTTCCCCTTACAGAAATATACCTTAGCCCTTGATTGGAAGCTGGGGGAAAAGGCAGTCCAATATTTTTGGCTGAACCTGCCTAGAGTAATGTTCTGCCACACTGGCCTGTGGGGAGGGAAGGGGGGTTGGGCCATGATTCAAATCCCACTGGATTTCACTGTTCTTAATAAGTCTAATAGGTTTTCTTGAATAAATGTTTCTTCATTTGTTGTATGTCCTTAGGGTCTTCTCTGGTTTGAATGTGTTTCCCACATTTCATGTATTGGAAACTGAATCCCTATTGTGGCCATATTGAAAGGTGGGGCATTTAAGAGGTGATTGGATCCTGAGGACTCTGCTGTTATGAATGGATTAATCTGTTGATTAATGGATTGATGAGTTAACATGGAGGTGGAACTGGTAGCTTTATAAGAAGAGGGAAAGCAACCTGATCAAGCATGTTAGCATAAGATTAAGTATGTCAGCTCTCTCACCAGGTGATGTTCTTTGCTGCTTCAGGACTCTGTAGAAAGCCCCCACCAGGAGTAAGCCCTCACCAGATGCTGAACCATGTGCTTAGACTACCCAGTCTCCATAATTGCAACAAACAAATTGCCTCTCTTTATATAAATTACCCAGTTTCCAGTACTCTGTATAAGCAACAGAAAATGGCTAAGGTAGAATCATAACTAAAGGCTTTAAGTGGTTATATTTTAAAAACAACTTTCATCAGTTTTACTGGGGTACGCGTTCACAGACCTGTTACACTGCTATTCTGGAAGTCTCAAAATTACTCCATGTCAAGTCTTACTGATTTTTTCTCTCTCCTTCATAAAAAAGAGTCAGTCCTTATTCTATATGTTGAACATTCTGTGGTTGTAACAAATCGTATTAATTTGATCTTAATGTGCCTTCAGTTTTTCATGAGGTGTCTGATTCACCTCATGAAAAAACAAGTTATATAATCCTGATTTCTTAATCTATAGAAAACAAAAATCAATATGTTCTGAAATAATTGGACAAAAATATCTTGAAAATTATGCTAAACTTCTGTTCTAACATGTTTGGATCTGTTTTCTGAAACTACTTGGTCTAGTCAAGGTGACTGTTCTCATCCTGCTAATAAAGAGCATTAATATCTGTAACATTTATCTTAAAAACATAGGCCATGGGGTCCAGTGAGTTTCTTAGGAAAAATTCTTTAAAATCTTGCTGAATTTCTCAACTCCCATTCCCTTCAAAAAGTATTTATCATTACAAACTCATTACTATATGTTTAAAAGCATTTTACTCTCTTGAGATGATTTTCTTCTTAAAAATCCAGGTGATAAAATTTTTTTCTGTTTTAAATGCTTTAAGTTGTCTTTCAAAATATTAAAGCATACATTGTTTCATATTCTCTCAACTATGTGAGTGCCTTTTTCCTCTCCCTGGTGAATTTCTTTCTTTCCCTGGTGAATTATTTACTACTCACCACTTATCAAATTGTACATGAGAGCTGAAATGATATTCACGAAGTCTCTTAGAAATGACTCAAACTTTCTGTTTTAACATCTTTTTAATAGGATCCCCACTTTAGCTTTCATGAAGCCACCCAGTCTAAAACAGATGCCTAAAGGGCATCTGCCTCTATAATTTTTGTTTGAAATTACAGGATATAGTGGCCAAGGAATTATCTGGGCAATCAGAAGATGAAGATGTACAAAACGAAAGAAAGAGAATCCTGGAGCAGCCTCAGGAGTTGCTGAATTCCACAGTACTTATTAAAGAACTCATAAAGGTAATATAATTCAATGGCTAACCTACACTGGCTTCATTTCTACTTAAGAGTGTGCCATTGGTGCCAAGGGCTCTCTGTGGTTCTTTGGGCTCTATATGTATTCTCCCAGTAGAATAGAAGAGTTATCATGAAACTGTCTGAAGTAGTGATCCATAGGGGTCTGAGATATTACTGATTGTATTTTGCCTATAAGTATTCTTTACTGAATTGTGTTTCCTGGATTTTTTTTAAGATCTATTTTAAGTCTCCAGCCATCCTGGCTGTAAAAAATGTCTCTCTTGCAATCCAAAAGGGGGAGTGCTTTGGATTGCTTGGATACAATGGAGCTGGAAAAACAACTACTTTCCAAATTTTGACTGGGGAAGAGAGTCCTACTTCTGGAGATGTGTTCATTGATGGCTTTAGCATCACAAAAGATATCCTACAGGTAAGAAGCATAATGAATGACTCAGGTTCAGGTAACAGATAGTTGGCTAGGGAGGGGATATGGGAAATATGGTATGTATTAATGCAATCTATGTTGTTGATGCAATCAATGGATTCTGGGAAACCAACTTGTGAAGAGTGAGTGAAGCAGTAAGAACAGAATCTAAAACAAGAGTGTCTTTTATGTTTTTTGAAACTGTTTAAGTAAAAGACAAGTTCTTTCAACATTAGATCTAACATATGCCAGACAAGGTACTGTAAGGGTGTAGGGATGGCAAGGCTGGGCAGCAGGAGAAGATAACCTGCAATTCAGTTGCACCTGAGACCTTGCTCCATCTTACTGGGAGCTCTGCAGCAAGATGGCCTTTCACAAATCCAACTGAAGCAAAGTTGCTAGCCTTTGTATCTCTACATCTGCCAGTCATTGGAAGAGAGGATGTAACCTTGGAAAGAAGCTAAGTGTGGGGAGAATTTCAAGAATAAGGGAATTATCAAATGTATCAAATGCCAGGAAGACTAAGGCAAGGTAAAGCCTAGATAGTGTACGTTGGTTTCAGTAAGTAGAACTTCACCGATGAGGTTGGCAAGGACAATTGTACTAGGGTTAATTGGGTAGGTGTAACAAGAGCCTGAAATAGTGTAATTCTTTTCTCCTCACTTAATCACATCAGCCACTATCACCATGGAAGCAGCAAGAGGGGGTTGGGAGAGCATTCTGTGGGATAGACTAGTCCCAGTAGTCTAGTTTATTAGTCTGTTCTCATCCTGCTAATAAAGACATACCTGAGACTGGATAATTTATAAATGAAAGAGATTTAATTGACTCACAGTTCCACATGGCTGGGGAGGCCTCACAATCACAGCAGAAGGCAAATGAGGAGCAAAGCCATGTCTCACATGGCGACAGGCAAGAAAGTGTGTGCAGGGGAATTCCCATTTATAAAACCATCAGATCTCATGAGACTTATTCACTATCACAAGAACAGCTCAGGAAAGTCCAGCCCCCATGATTCAATTACCTCCCACCAGATCCCTTCCATGACAAGTGGAAATTATGAGGCAGAGGTTGTAGTGTGCCAAGATTGTGCCATTGCACTCCAGCCTAAGCAAAAATTGTGAAGATTCAAGATGAGATCTGGGTGGAGACACAGCCAAAGAATATCATCTGGTAACCAGAAGTGAAGCTAAAAATGTGGATTACACTTTGAAGAAGATTCACTGTGAGGCAAAATGAAGAATGAAAATTCACCCAGATTTTTGATAAGGACAGAAAATATTTCATAGGTTGAATAACTCAAGCACATTTATACTAGAAGGGGAGAAGTTAAAGAAACAGAGGAAGGAGTGATACATGATGGCAGGAGGTGATCTGTTCCTACCAGGTGGTCCTTGCAAAAAAGTCAGGGAACATGAGGTCTCCCCTATCTTTGTTCATACCATTTATACCCTTGGGGAACATAAAGGTGGCATAAAACAGTCCAGTTTCCTGATTGTGCATAATGGAGAAAAAGATTAAGTGAATTTAGTACTAAGGAGCAAAAGCTAAATTGAGAATTTAAAAGGTAGTTCATATAAAACATCATATTTAAAAAGAGAACAGGCATATGGGCAAAATATCAGCCTTTTACAAGGACTGATTCAAAGTTCAGTAAATCTGAGGGAACTCTTTCAAGCCTCAGAAAATTTCTCCAACTCTACTATTCTAAAATATTTATCATATTTTATGCAATAATGGTAATATTTTCATTTATTTAGGCCTTAAAAAAACTTCTACATTGTCTTTCCATTGTGGTAAAAGTGCATAATATAAAATTTATTATATTAAGCATTACTGAATGTAGAACTCAGTGCCTTTAAGTACATTCACATTATTTTATGCCCATCACCACTCTTCATCTTCAGAACTTTTCCTTAACCTAAATTAAATATCTCTACTCATTCAACAACTCCTCTTCCCTCCATTAACTCCTTAGTGACTACTGTTCTACTTTCTATGAATTTGACTATACTAGGTACCTCATGTAAGTAGAATCATATAATGTTTTGTTTTTATATCTGATACGCTTCACCTAGCACAATGCCTTCAAGGTTCACCTATGTATTTGAATTTCATTCAGTTTGGCTGGGTGCAGTGCCCCATGCTTGTAATACCAGCACTTTGAGAGGCCAAAGTGGGCGGATCACTTGAGGTCAGATGTACAAGACTAGCCTGGCCAGCGTGCTGAAACCCCATCTCTACTAAAAATGCAAAAATTAGCCAGGCATGGTGGTGCATGCCTGCAATCCCAACTACTCGGGAAGCTGAGGCAGAGGAATTGCTTGAACCAAGGAGGCAGAGTTGTAGTGTGCCAGGATTGTGCCATTGCACTCCAGGCTGAGCAACAATTGTGAAACTCCATCTCAAAAAAAAAAATGCATTAGTTTTAAGGCTGAATAATATTCCTTTGTATGAGTATACAACATTTTGTTTACCCATTCATCCATTTATGGACATTTGGGTTGTTTGTACCTTTTGGCTCTTGCAAATAATGCAGCTATAAACATTGGTATACAAATAACTGTTTGAGCCCTGCTTTTGATTATTTGGGATATGTATCTATAGGTGGAATGCAGAATCATATAGTAATTCTATGATCATTTTCATAAGAAATTCTATACTGTATTTTACAGTAGCTGTATCATTTTACATTCCCACCAGCAATGCACAAGAGTTCTAATTTATCCATATAATCACTAACATTTCTTAATTTTTGTTTTAATTGTAGCCATCCTGATGAGTGTGAGGTGGTATCCCATTATAGTTTTGATTTGCATTTCCCTAAGAATTAGTGATGTTGGGCATTTTTTTTTCATGTGCATATTGGCCATTTGTATATCTTCTTTGGAGAAGTGCCTATATTAATCATTTGCATGACTTTAAAATTGGGTTGTTTGGTTTTTGTTGCTGTTGAGTTGTAGGAATCCTTTACATATCCTGGATATTAATTCACAGAAGATTTGTAAATATTTTTTTCCCATTCTGTGGGTTACCTTTTCTGGTGTCCTCTAGTGAACAAATCTTTGAAGTTCAGTTTATCTAATTTTTCTTTCGTTGCCTGTGATTTTGGTGTCTTATCCACAAAATCTAGTAAATTCAATGTCATGAAGTTATTCCTCATTTTTTTCCTAATAGTTTTATAGTTTAACTCATATATTAGGTCTTTGATCCATTTTGAGTTTATCATGGTATGTGGTGTAAGATAAGGATCCAACATCGATCTTATTCATTTGAACATCCAGTTTTCTCAGTGCCATTTGTTGAAAAGACTGTCCTTTGCCTATTGAATGGTCTTGGCACCTGTGTGTGATTCAGTTGATCATTTCCTAAAGATTTGTTTCTGGATCACTGTTTTATTTTACTAATCTATATGTCTGTATTTTTATTACTGAAACTTTTCAGTAAGTTTTGAATGTATAAAGTGTTAGTCCTCCAATTTCATCCTTCCTTTTCAAAAGATTGTTTTGGCCATTTGGGTTCCTGAAGGTCCTATGTGAATTTTAGGATGCACTTTTCTACTTCCACAAAAAAAAATTGTCAGGATTTTGATAGAAATTACATTGAATCTATAGATTATTTTAACAGTAATAGTAATTCTCTCAATCCATGAACATGGGATGTAGTCCTATTTCTTTATGTTGTCTTTAATTTTTCAGCAATTTTTATAGTTTTCAGTGTCCAAGACTTTTAACTTATTGGTTAAGTCTATTCCTATGCATTTTATTCTTTTTGATGCTATATAAATTAAATTTTTTTTAATTTCCTTTGGGTGGTTTTATTGTTAGTGTATAGAAATGTAACTAATCTTTTAAAGAAAAAATATATCAGTCTATTAAACATATTCCCCTATGCCTTATACAATATGAACAGAATAGATGAATAAAAATTCAATAAAAATTAAGAAGAGGAAAATAAATCCAGAGAAGAGATAAGTCCATAGAGAAACTCACTCTGATTAACTTGGAAAATGCCACATTACCACTAAGCTTCTTAGAATCTGTATTGACTGTGAGATCTGATTTCATATCAACTGCAGCTATCTCTTCCAAATAGAAGTCAGGGTCAAAGCAGCCTGACTGAGTCAATCTTTAGGGATATAAAACTGGATCATGGTTATAATTTGCTAGGATGCTGCCTTTTTTGTCATTGTTGTATTATCTTTCTCTGCCTGGAGAAAAAAATGGGATGGTTGCTAGGTTGCTATAGTGGTTATAGTAGAGTCAAGAGACAAGAAATTACTTGGTCTCCAGCACCATCTAAATATAGGAGTATAGGGAAAAAGAACTCCTAGTGAGGGCTATGAAGATATTACATAGAAGGCCATATTGGTGTCCAAACTAGTTCAAATCTGTATATATCATTGAACTTTGTGCTTGATATTTGGTGGCTTTTCCCACTCAGAGACATGCTGAGCGGCAACTATGGTTCATGAAATACTGGCAGATCTAATTTTAAATGTAGGGGTGTCACTGCTTGTTTAATGTAGAAGTAGCAAGGTCTGCATGAATTCATCACTTTTTCATGGTGCCAGAATCAACGGAAAGTTGACTTACGTCCAGGAGTCACACAGCTGGTTTCCATGTTTATTTTTGTTTCTTTGTTTTTTAATGTAAGAATTTGTAACTTGCATGGCCCCCCATTTCTTCCTGTTTTCTATCTTTGTCCTGACTGAGAAAACAGAGTGCCTTGACCAACCTGAGCTGCTGCTCAGGATCAGCTTTATGCCTTCCCCTACAGGCTTGGACCCAAGCCAGAGCCTGGAAGCTACCAAGGAACATTCCAAGACACTGATAAAGTTGTTTAAGGTGTTGCCCAAAACTGAAAGGTCAAACATCTTGCTAAACACATAAAAAGTAGCCCTGGCCTTGAGCAAAATTATTTAAATACTCATTCAGACTCTGTAAACCAACTCCCTCTTTATAGCCATACCTAGGTAGAACATCTTTCTTACTATCGTCACAAGGACAACCACAACTCTTGTATGTGAATTTTCCTAATAAATGTTTTGTACTGTTTTCTAGTACTTCTTTCTTTGGAATGCCAGTTGGCCCCACCTCAGGGTGACTTGGGGCAGTCCATTGTAAGAGCTTGTCAGCCACTACTTTGGGGGCAGTGCTGACCATTTTCTCCAAGGACAGAATGTAGCTATAAATTTCCCCTTGAATACTGCTTTTGCTGGGTCCCATGAGTTTTTATGTAGTGTTTTGTTTTCACTCATCTCTAATCATTTGCTAAATTCTCTTATTTCTTCATTTAGCCATTGGTTATTTAAGAGTGTGTAAATCTGCAAATTTGTGAGTTTTCCAGGTTTTCGCCTCTTAACAATACCTAAATTCATCCAGTCATGGTTGGAAAGATGGTTTATCTTTTCAAATCTACTCAGATTTAATTTGTGTCCTAAAATACGGTCCATCCTGGAAGATGTCCCACGCGCCCGTGAAAAGAATGTGTACTCTGTTTTGTTGATTAGTGTTCTGCATACGTTAGTTAGATCTCATTGGTTTATGTGTTACTTAAGGTCTTTATTTCCTTTTTGATCTTCTGTCTGTTTGCTACCCATTAATGAGAGTAGGATATTAAAATATCCAACTATTATTATAGAATTGTTTTTCTTCATCTATTTTCATGGTCTGCTATTAGGTGTGTAAATGTTTATACTTTTTATATATCTTCATCCTGAAATGAACCTTTTATTCATATGTAATATTCAGACCGGGAGTGACAGCTCATGCCTGTAATCCCAGCCCTTTGGGAGGCCGAGGCAGGCAGATCACCTGAGGTCAGGAGTTCGAACTAGCCTGGCCAACATGGCAAAACCCTGTCTCTACTAAAAATACAAAAAAAAAAAAAAAAAAAAATTAGCCAGGCATGGTGGTGGGTGCCTGTAATCCCAGCCACTCGGGATTCTGAGACAAAATAATCACTTGAACTCGGGAGGCAGAGGTTGCAGTGAGCTGAGATTGTCCCATTTCACTCCAGACTGGTTGACAAGAGCAAAACTCTGTCTCAAAAAAAAAAATATATATATATATAGATAGATAGATAGATAGATAGATAGATAGATAATATTCTTTGCTACTTCTAAATTTTCTTGATTTAAGGTCTATTTTATCTGATATTGTGTAGCCACCCTTACACCCCACTTGATTACTAAATACAGGGAATATATTTTTTTGCCATCCTTTCATTTTCAGTCTGCTTGTATCTTTGGATCTAAAGTGAGTCTCCTGGAGATAGCATCTAGTTGGGTCATTTTTTTTAAACTTCATTCTGCCAATCTCTGTCTTTTGATTGGAGAGTTTAATCTATTTATATTTAAAGTAATTATTTATAAGGAGAAACTTACTTCCATCATTTTGCTATTTTTTCTGTATGCTTTATAGCTTTTTTATCCCAAATTTCCTGTATTACTTTTTTTTTCTTGAGACTGATTCTCTCTCTGTCACCCAGGCTGGAGTGCAGTGACACAATCTGAGCTCACTGCAACCTCTGCCTCCTGGTTTCCAGCAATTCTCCTGCCTCAGCCTTCTGAGTAGCTGGGATTACAGGCTGGTGCCAGTACACCAGGCTAATTTTTTTTTTTTTTTGGCATTTTTAGTAGAGACAGATTTCACCATATTGGCCACACTGGTCACTAACTCCTGACCTCAAGTGATCCACCTGCCTCAGCCTCCCAAAGTGCTGGGATTATAGGTGTGAGCCACCACACCTGGCCAGCATTACTATTTTCCTTTGTATTTAGTTGATTTTTTTGTAGTAAAACATATTAATTCCTTTCTCATTTTCCTTTGTACATATTCTGTAACTATTTTCTTTGTAGTTGCCAGACAGATTATATTTAATATACTAATGTTATAATACTAATTTGAATTTATATCAACTTAACTTCAGTAACACAAAAAAACTCTGCTCCATCACCACCCCTTTCAGTTGTCGATGTCACAAAATTACATCTTTATACACTATGTGACCAAAACATAAATAATTTTTAAATGCATTAAAATTATAAACTACATAGAAAACAAAATGTAGAGTAACAAATTTTTGTTATGATAATATTAGCTTTTATAACTCTCTATGTATTTACCTTCATTGAGATCTTTACTTCATATGACATTAACTTACTGTCCAGTGTCTTTTCATTCGCCTTGTAGGACTTCTTTGAGCATTTTCTACAGGACAGGTCTATTGACAACAAAGTCCGTCAACTTTTGTTTATCTGAGAATGTCTTAATTTCTTCTTCACTCTTAAATAGTTTTGCCAGATGCAAGATTCTTGTTTGACAGTTTACTTCTTTTAACACTTTTGAAGGTGCATAGGGAAAGGCTCTGCTTCTGGTTCAGCCCCTTGCCTCTGGCTGCTGAAGTTTCTGATATGTGCTAATAATCTTCAGAGATTTTTTTAAAATGTGATCTATGGCTTCTATCTTCCTGATTTCAATATTCTCTCTCTTTGGCTTTTGCCAAATTGATAATAACATGTCTTGATATGGGTCTCTTTGAGTTCATTTTAGAGTTCATTGGGCTTCTTGGATGTTTACATTCATCAAATTTGGAAAGTTTTCAATTACTGTTTCTTCAAATCATCTCTCTGCCCTTTTCTTTCTTCTCCTTCTTAAATACCACAATGTATATATTGGTCCACTTGATGGTGTTTCAAAGTTTGCTTAGGCTCTGTTTACATTTCTTTAATCTTTTTTCTTTTCTTTTCTTTTCTTTTGATGTTTTTTCTTTCTGTTCCTCAGACTCAATAATTGCCATTGTCCTATATTCAAGTTAACTATTTTTTTCTTCTGCCTATTCAAATGTGACTTTCAAATCCTGCTAGTTAATATTTTGTTTCAGTTATTGTTCTTTTCCACTGTAGAATTTTTTTGTTTCCTTTTAAAATTTTCTACCTCCTTTTTGATACTTCCATTTTGTTTGCACATCATTTTCTTGACTTTCTCCACATCTTCCTTCAGTTTTTAAAGCATCGTTAGGACATAAAGCACTTTTCTAGTGTATCTGCCCTCGTGTCTTTTTCAGTAATGGTTTTCATTCATTTTTTTCCTTTGGTGGGTCATACTTTCCTGTTGCTTTGTATGCTTTTGAGTTTTATTAAAAACTGGACATTCGACTCTAATAAGGTGGTAATTCTGGAAATTATATTCTCCTCATTCTCCTAGGCTTGTTGTTATTTGTTACTTTTTATTGTTTTTGTTTTTTGGATTGTTGTAGGCTGTCTCTGTGCTTAGGATCAGCCTGGGGTGTGAAACTAAGTTCTTCTAAGGCATTTTCTAAGTCTGTGTCTTTCCCTGAGCATGTGTGGTTACTTTCTAAATTTCTTTACACATGCAGTTGTGTTTTAAAGCGCCGTCACTTCAAACAGAGGGGCAGGGAATTGTGCCATGCCAGGAGTTTAGGGGGCATGAATAGTTTGGAAACACTGTAAATTAATTAGTAATTTGATTTAATTGAAATTGATAGCCTTTTCTCTAGATCTTAGGCTATGCACCTCAATGCAAATCAACAGAAGGATTTGACTAATTGGTAAAGCAACATTTATTGCAGTCTCTGGTTTGGGGATTAGTGCAAAAAGGCTTTGCTTCTGTTTCAGCTTTACTCTGGAACAAGATGTACATATGGCTCTACAGATTAAACAAAGCCAAAAACATCATGGTGGCCATGCTCCTTGGAGTTCCTGATTAATAAGAGCATCTCATATTCTAATAGTCCTCCAAATTGAGTGGCTCTAGAATTTTATTTCTAACTTCTTTATCCACAAGATCGTTAAAACTGAATTATGGAAGCTATTATCCCAAAGTCCTACAATAGGTCTGACAGCTGTAATTTTGTAGCCCTTTACAAAAAAATAATAATAATAATCCTGATGGGACTCTTAGAAGCAGGGCTTGGAGGACTGCAGGTTTGCTATCTCATCAGTGGGTGTGTAGTGGGATGGATGACTTGGGTCTTTACTCAAGGCAATTTTTGTTATTAGGTGAGGTCAAGAATTGGCTATTGTCCTCAATTTGATGCCTTGCTGGAATATATGACTGCTCAGGAAATAATGGTTATGTATGCCAGAATATGGGGAGTCTCTGAGCCCCAGATTGGGCTGTATGTGAACAAATGGTTGAATTCACTGGACCTGGAGTCTCATGCTGACAAGCTTATCCGCACCTACAGGTGAGTCACTATGCTGCTGCTCTTTTTTGTTGATGCTGCTAAATTGAGGTACTTCCTTTTGTCCTTGCTGTTTGAAATGAAGCTTATAGCTCCACCTAAGCTCCTCTCCCACATTACCTACTTGTGAAACTAATGTTTTTCTAGGCTTCAGATGCCAGTAATAAGGCAAATCAATGCAGTTCCACATCTTCCCTTTGCAGAGGTGAAACTCAGAGTCTTGGTTCTAGTTGAACTGTATCCTCTGAACCTCAAAAAAAAGGAGTGTCTCCTCTTCCTAGTGTCCCTATAGTTCTTTGTCTACCAAATAAGGAGGAATCTAGGCCCTTTGAATTATATGTGATTTATGTGCCTTGGAAACCATACCACTCTAAGAACTTGTAAATAAATGCCACTGATAATGCTGCCAAAATTAATTACATAAAATCACTCCTCTATGTCTCAAAATGAATTGATACACTTGTCTGTAATTGGGCCTGATACCTAATCAAAGTCACATCTGATCAGTACTGTGAATGTTCAGGTTAAGTGTTTGCTTGGACTCACAGCATTTGGGAAATTTGTACAACTCTTTCCTATACATAATGATATGTATAGCCATTTCTTCTCCCACTTTTTCTCTCCTTCTTTGGCCATGAAGTGGAGGAAACAAACGTAGGCTGAGTACTGCTATTGCCCTAATGGGAAGGTCTTCAGTCATCTTCCTGGATGAGCCATCAACTGGCATGGACCCAGTAGCCCGACGCCTGCTCTGGGACGCAGTGACAAAGACATGTGAAAGTGGAAAAGCCATCGTTATAACCTCCCACAGGTGTGGCTCATCAGAAGGGTTGGTTGAGGGTTAGCAAGAGTTTTAGTGGCCATAAGAGGGAATTAGTTAGGCCTGGTGGATAATATTGTACAGTAAACTTGCCTAAGTGTGTTAGCTCCTCATTAGGAATTAGAATTCATGCTAATCCTAATAAATCAAATGGCTAAAAATCCTCATCAAGTTTTAAAAAAAGTGAGGAAAAGACAGGACTTCAGAAGATGTTCTGTTTGAAAATAGGGCACTCTATTATTTTTCATTTGAAAAATTCCCACTTCCCAGCTATGAGCTTTATAATTGGAAAAATACAACTTCCAATTGAAAATAGGGTCACAAAATTCTGGCTCTGATTGAACTACACAATGTCCTCCAAAAGAGATTTTTTTTATTTTTACCCATAAAACGTTGTGCCATTTTTGTTTTGCAAGTATGGAGGAATGCGACGCCCTCTGTACCAGCCTTGCCATCATGGTGCAGGGGAAGTTCATGTGCTTGGGCAGCCCTCAGCATCTCAAGAACAAGTTTGGCAACATTTACATCCTGAAGGTCAAGTTCAAGACTGAAGCTAAATTAGAGGATTTTAAATGTTATGTTACGACAACGTTTCCAGGTAAATTAAGTTGTGCTACCTTTCTCAGAAATGTATTAAATCGGCCAGGCGCAGTGGTTCACGCCTGTAATCTCAGTGCTTTGGGAGATTAGGCGGACAGATCACTTGAGCTCAGGAGTTTGAGAAGTGTGTTAAATCCTATTTGTTGTTCTCACCATCCATATGATTTATGTCTTCGGTACCAGCTTCCTGTGAGTTACTGATATGTATTGATTTTCTATAATGTTCCTTTGTCAATGTTTGATACTATGTGTCTTGTGCCAGATTATGCTAAGTTTCACAAAAAAACAGAAGTTCTCACAAGCTCTTACATCACCTAACGAGGCAGTTTAATAGTTGTGCTGTCCATATAAATTATGTGGGCGCAGTAGCTCATGCCTGTAATTCCAGCAACTTGGGAGACTGAGGCCACAGAATTGCTTGAGCCCCGGGGTTTAAGGCTGCAGCGAGCTATGATTGTGCCATTGCATTCCGGCCTGGGTGACAGAGCAAGACTCCATCTCTAAAATAATAATAATAAATAAAAATAAATTGTATATCTAAAGTCATATTTTTCACATAATTCTCAATTATTTTCAGATTATTTGTGCAAAATTTTAAGGTTTTTTCCTTCACACTAAGCATGTAACTTTATGCTTTTGTTGTCTCAGCTAGGATATGTTATTGAAATGCAAATAAGAACTGTTGTTTCTCTCCTTTCAAGAGTAGTTTGGTTTCTGAGTACTGTTTCTTCATGCTAAATTCAATAACCACCTGTCTGCCTACATGGAACAGTACAAGACAGAGCACCCATTTTGATCTGTCTCTTATCTCTCTTTCCTTAACTTAAAGCATAGGCAATGGCAAAGCTTTTAATAATTCTGGTTTTTCATCTTAGTTTCCACTTTGGTAGGCTGAGAAAAATATCACAGAAGTTCCTGTTGTGTGTTAGGCTAAAAGGTTGAAAGTTTGTCTCCGAGGCAATGGAAAATAGCAAAACTGATTACACAGTAAGAATGAAAATCAGGGCCAGGCACAGTGGCTCAGGCCTGTAATCCCAGCCCTTTGAGAGGCTGAGGTGGTTGGATCACCTGAGGTCAGGAGCTCAAGACCAGCCCAGCCAACATGGTGAAAACCCATATCCATTAAAAGTACAAAAATTAGCTGGGCATGGTGGTGCATATCCGTGGTCTCGGCTACTCAGGAGGCTGAGGCAAGAGAATTGTTTGAACCCTGGAGGCAGAGGTTGCAGTGAGCAGAGGTCATGCCGTTGCACTAAAGCCTGGGTGACAGAGAAAGACCCTGTCAAAAAAGGAAGGAGAGGAAGGGAAAGAAGGAGAGGAAGGAAGGAAGGAGGGAAGGAAGGAAGGAGGGAAGGAGGGAAGGAAGGAAGGAAGAAAAGAAGGAAGGAAGGAGGGAAGGAGGGAAGGAGGGAGAGGAAGGAAGGAGAGAGAGGAAGGAAGGAAGGAAGGAAGGAGAGGAAGGAGAGGAAGGAAGGAAAGAAAATCAGAAAATAGATACGAAATGGATGGTCAAGCACAAGTGGAGAACAAGCTGTGTGGAAAAATAATCACCTTGCTGTTGGCCATAGTGTTTATGATGTGCCCATCACACATGCAGATGGATATGTCTATTAAGAAGTTGAATATTCACTTATGCATTCATGTGACAAACATTTTTGAAGACTTGTTGTGTCAGAGGTTCTATTTGATGTGATCAATAAATCACTTTGAGAAAGCTCTGCATACTTCAAGATAATACAGAAAAACAATTCAACAAAATCGGGTACACAATAAATGACCCAGACTAGTAATTTCATGTAGAAATTGAAATTACTTTAAAAAAAATCAAACAGATATGGATATGTAATATACAGTGAATAAAATGAAAAATGAAGTAGAAGGCATTAACAACAGAATTTATCAAGCAGAGAAAAATATCTCACCTCAAAGTAGGATTTTTGAAAATATAAAGTGAGATGCCTTTTGAAAATATACAATTAGATGATTAAAAGAAAAATTAAGAGGAGTGAAGAAAGCTCATGGGATTTATAGAATGGCATCAAAACAGTCAGTGTTTAAGTTATAAGAGTTTGCGAAGAAGAAAAAACAAATTGTTAGGAAGCTTATTTAAAGAAATAAAAACAGAAGATTTTCCAAATATTAAGAAAAGCATAAATATCCAGGTACAAGAGGGTCACATATCTGCATTCAGATTCAATACAAACAAGACTACCTCAAGACATTATAATTAAATGTTCAAAACTCAGGCACAAAGAGAGGATCCTGCAAGTAGCAAGAAGAAAAAAAAAAAAAAAAAAGCAAATAACATACAAGGGAGATTCCATAAGGCTAGCTGCAGATTTCTCAACAGGGACCTCATAGGCAAAGAGAGAGTGGGATGACATGTACTAAAGAGGAAAAAAACTGCCAACCAAGATACTGTATCCAATACTGTGTTGAATAGGAGTGGTAAGAGGACATCCTTGTTGTTGTACTAGTTTTCAAGGGGAATGCTTCCAGGTTTTGCCCATTCAGTATGATATTGGCTGTGAGTTTGTCATATATGGCTCTTATTATTTTGAGGTATGTCCCTTCAATATCTAGTGTATTGAGAATTTTTAACATGAAGGGATGTTGAATTTTATCAAAGACCTTTTCTGCATCTATTGAGACAATCATATGGTTTTTGTCTTTAGTTCTGTTTATGTGATGAATCACGTTTATTGATTGGCATATGTTGAACCAAACTTGCATCCCATGGATGAAGCCAAATTGATCATGGCGAACAAACTTTTTGATGTGTGAGTGGATTCAGTTTGCCAGTATTTTATTGAGGATTTTTGCATTGATGTTCGTCGAGGATATTGGCCTGAAGTTTTCTTTTTTTGTTGTATCTCTGCCAGGTTTTGGTATCAGGATGATGCTGGCCTCATAGAATAAGTTAGGAAGGAGTCCCTCCTTTGGTCACCAGCCTACACATACCTGTAGGGGAGGTAGCTGGAGACACCTGTTGGGAGGTCTCACCCAGTCAGGAGGAATGGGATCAGGGACCCACCCAAAGCAGCAGTCTGGCTGCTTTTTGGTACAGCAGGTGTGCTGTGTTGTGGGGAACATTTTCTTGTTTGGGCTGCCTGTATTCTTTAAAGCTGACAGGCTGAAGCGGCTGAGTCAACCAAACCACAGAGATGGCAGCTGCCCCTCCCTCCAGGAGCTTGGACTCATCATCTCAGGGGAACTCCAACTCACTGCCATTGGCTGGTTGGGATTCCAAGCCAGTTGGTCTTAACTTGTGACATGATGTGGAAGTGGGACCTTGTAGAATAACACTGCTTGGCTCCCTGGATTCAGCTTCCTTCCTAGAGATATGTACAGATGGACCTCCTGCCTTGCTGGGGATCCTAAGGTCGGAGTATGTAAAACCCCTGGGTCTCTGTGTATGCCTAAGTGAATGCTCTGTCAAGACTTCACACAGTTCTGTGTATCAGACCCAAGGCCCTGGTGGTGTGGACTCACAAGTGGATCTCCTGATCTGTGGGTTGCAAAGATCCTTGGGAAAAGCATGGTTTCCTGGACAGGGTCTCACAATCACTAGCTGCTTCTCTTGGCTAAGGGTGGGGGTACATTTGACTTCATGTAGCTACTTGGTGGGCCATCTCCACCCCCTGCTCTTCTTCCTTCTCCATGGGTCGAGTTAGCCTAGTCGGTCCCAATGTGAGTACCTGGATATGTCAGCTGAAGGTGCTAAATTCGCTCATCCCTCTCTATCCCTCTCCTTTAGTGCTGTGAACTGCAGCCACTTCTAATAGGCCATCTTGGATCAGGTTCCTCTGTAAGCATTAGACTTTCAGAAGGCTCAGGTTTTTTATATTGGGCATGCCAGCTAGTAATTTACTGTACCTCAAATCCTTCCTTCAATAATTGCTATGAATTCCACATAAGAAGATGATTTCATGAGGAATAAATCTGCTGAAAGCATTAACCATGTCATGGATACCAAAGATAGTGGGTTAGTGGATCATATCTGCTTTTATATTGGCCTCCTCTATTCACCCCTCTGCAGTATATAATTAAGTACATGTAGTGATATTTTGGCAATTTCAAATAAAGCCTATAAGATTATTCACCTGTCCTATTTTCCTTTCTTAGGTAGTGTCTTAAAACATGAGAATCAAGGAATCCTTAACTACTACATTCCCAGCAAGGACAACCGCTGGGGAAAGGTGATGATAGCAACCTTGCCCTTCTAACGTTGCATGTTAAGAGAACACTAACAATGAGGAATATTTGGGATTTGGGAATGTGGAATGGGAGCCTGTCATTGTTGGGGGAGTAGCACCATTCGGTTGCTTTTCAAATCCCTAGAGTTTAATAGCTTCAATTTCTTCCCCTAAATTCCACTGTTACTCCATGTCCATCAAGAGAATGGGAACAGAGAATGGCCTCCTCCCACTTTCTTAATTTTCTGTTCTTCCACTTTCTCACCTCTCCTCTCTGTGCCTTTTGTCCTCCAGCATACACTTGGCAGGAACCAGGGGTGTAGAGAAGACGCTCATCTGAGTTGGGGGCTGAGGGGAGATTGCAAGGGTAACTGCGTTTTTGTGGCTATTGTTAAAGGTGTTTGGCATTTTGGAGCAAGCTAAAGAGCAATTTGATTTAGAAGACTATTCCATCAGTCAGATCACACTGGAACAAGTCTTCCTGACCTTTGCTAACCCAGAGAAAGCATCCAGTGATGAGGAAAATGAGGTGCCATGAGATTCAATTACAACCAGTGACCCTCGTGTCTTTCATAGATGATACCTGGACCTTCTGTGTATAGGGAGACTTTCCTCTGCATGTATATCTTGGTGTAAATATATTTATGTAATAAAGATTTTCCCAAAGGAGAATGTTTGTCCCCTTCATTGCAGATTTAGATGAGTGTCCTGTGTATCCAGCATGCTCAAATCTGAGGACATTTGGTGAAATTCCTGTTTTCTCTCTTTGAGATATGAAAGAGCAGCATTTATCAGGGTTGGGACAGGAACCTGTTCCTGAGTGTTCTGGATGTTTGTATTTTTTTAATTGCATTTTAGGTTTTGGGGTACATGTGAAGAACATGCAAGATTGTTGCATAGGTACACACGTGGCAGTGTAATTTGCTGCCTTCCTCCCCCTCACCTATACCTGGCATTTCTCCCCATGCCATCCCCCCCCAACTCCCTATCCTCCGCTGTCCCTCCCCTATTTCCCTCCAACAGACCCCAGTGTGTAGTGCTCCCCTCCCTGTGGATGTTTGGATAGAAAGATCCAGTAAGGATGGAGCTGTCAGATGGGATGGCCCAGAGAACAAGAGCTTTATGTTTTAGCAGCTGAGTTATAGATAAGAAGAGCATAAGACCTGGATCACATCAGCTTTTTCATGAATACACACACACACACACACACACACACACACACACACACATTCACACTCAGACACATTTGCACACGTACACATATATCTAATATAAATCATCAATGTTGGAGGGCTGAGTGGGGTTACTATT